ACCATTTTAGCTGGTTGTCGGTGTGATTTCTAGATTGTCAGCACCTGTTATTTGATACAGGTGAGTTTAATTACAAATTATCCAATTGCCCTCTGGAAGATTTACACCTCTTCCTGACCAGGCCATTTTGTGCTATTCAGCACTGCACTATTTCAGCTGGTTGTGCAGTCATGCAACGCTGTATACAAACAAAATTTACGTCATTTTTTCACACAAATAGAGCTTTCTTTTGATGGTATTTGATCTCCACTGGGTTTTTTTTCTTTTGTGATGAAAATGTTGAAATAAAGAAGATATTTTCTCCTTTCAGTTACAAAAAATATCCAATAAACTCAGTCATAAATTTAGGCCAAGATGTATTCTGCTACATGTCTTTGGTAAAAAAAATCCAAATACGCGTATATTAATTGGTTTGTGTGAAAGTTATAGTGTCTGCAAACTATGGTATATATACTGGAATTTACTCAGGTTTTACTTTCTGACTGCCTATCACATTTCTTGAGGTTCTAAAATGCCAAGGCAGTACAAAGACCCCCCCCCCCCCACATGACCCCTTTTTGGAAAGTAGATAGCTGGAGGAATTTGCTGAGAGGCATGATGAGTCCATGGAAGATTCTATTTTCTTGCCACAATTTTTGAAAAATGAAAAACATTTTTTTTCTTTACACAAAGTTGTAACTTAAATGATATATTGCTCACGTATGCCATGGCTATGTGTAGAATAACACCCAAAACACATTCTGCTACTTCTCCTGCATATAGGGATACCACATGTGAAAGACTTTGGCAGCCTATCCACATACATGCCTCCAAAATCCAATGACCACTTTCAGGCTTTCAAAGGGTATACAGTGCCTTGATAAAGTATTCATAACCCTTGAAATTTTCCACATTTTGTCATGGTACAACCAAAAATTTAAATGTATTTTATTGGGATTTTATGTGATAGACCAACACAAAGTGGCACATAATTGTGAAGTGGAAGGAAAATGATAAATGGTTTCAAAATCTTTTATTCGTAGCTTCCGGTTTCATAGAGATGATCAGAGTCATTCTGGTCTCCAATCAGCTCTATGGTCGGCCGGTGGAATTGCCGGCTGCATTTTTTGATTCCCCTGTGGGACAGGAGAGCCCAAGAAAGCCTGGGGGGGGGGGGGGGGGGGGGGGGTTGGAACGTTCCTTTCCACTGCTTGTAAAAAATCGATTCAGCAGCGAATTAGCTGCTAGGATTGCTTTTACATGAAAGCCAACCACCATCTGAAAAAACTATACCAGGATGATGCATGTAGCTGCAGGCATCATCCAGGTATAACCACTCAAAGTCCAGCAATGTACCAGTATGTTGCTGGTCCTTGTTGGGCATATATGTAACATTAGATAACATGGGCATATGATGAATTGGGTCTGTGGACCAATATGACCGCAATTCATTCTTTTTTGTAATGTCCATTTTGAAGGTTAGGCCCAAAAAAGTTTTAAATTCAGAAACTGTGATAGGTTTCCATGCTAATTGCCTGGCAAGAGCTAAATTTTGGTTAGCGGCAATGTATTGTGCGTATAAATTACTTCGGCCCACAATCATTTGATACAAATCTTCTGTGAAAAATAGCAGAGGGGCTAAACGCTAGAGCTGGCAGTGAACAGGGCTGATCCTGCTAACACTGCGTTTTTGGGGACATTATACAAAGGAGGCACTAGTATAGTTCTGTTTGTGATCAATATATTGATCCGTACAAACACTATATTAGTAATGGCAGTGATCAGCGACCTATAGTGTACTGGCAATCTAATGCTAGCTTAGTGAAAAATTCTATATACTGACACTGCACTAATGGCTGGGTGATGGGATGATCAAAGGGTTAATAGGGGCGATCAAAGAGTTATATGTGCTAATCTAACGTGTGTGTGTGTAAAATGTAATACTTTTGCTCACAGTGCGGTGTTCTCTCTTCTCTCACAGGACTGATGCAGGGGGCTCAGGCGCGCCCACAATCTGAAATAGGTCCGAAATTTGCCCAGAGTTGCTGCATGCCCACACATTGCTGGCAGGCGGTCAGCAAGTAGTTAAAAAAAAAAAAGCCTGTAATAAAATCTCAATACAGTATTTTTTATTTTACTTAGTTTTTAAATGTTTTTATTATTTAAAAAAACACTTTTATTAGAGTAGTGCAATGTTAACACAGTAACATTGTACTACTCTGCGGAGGGGTGCTGTGATTGGCCCTATGTATCATGTGAGAGCTGTGGGCCAATCACAGCTCACCAGGAAGAGAAGCAGAGCTGTTATGAATCAGATCACTTGATCACAGGGTCCCCTTCACCAGGATCTTCATTCCACTGTGTCCGGTGGATACAGCGGTCACAAGTGGGGAGCACTGTGTGCCCACTAGGATGTGCAGCACCCCCCTGTCTTAGTACAGCCAGAGCGACGTACCCATATGTTGCTTTGCCTGTAGCCGCCGACCGTCCGCAGTACATTGCGGGCGGGGTGGCAAGCGGTTATAGAAGCATCATAAACTTAGATGCAATTATTTCTTAAAATTTTGAGAGGTGTTAATAATTTTGTCCAGCCCATTTTGGGGGTTTTGCGTGGATTTTGTCAGATTTGGCTTTTTGTTTCTCCACTTTTGTATCATACCAATACAAACAAAAGAAACCTGAGAATGCGTAAATATTTGTAATTGCAAAAATTTTCTGGACAAAGTGGTGCATTATCTGACAGAAATGCAGGGGTGCTAATATTTTTTGGCTATGATTGTGTCTACCTATCTAGAGATCAGCTTTAACTTATCCACCCCTGCCTTTGAGAGATCATGGTAGCAGCCGTCAACAGAGGCTGAGATAGTAATACTGATATAATTCAGTTTATTGTTGTCAATGTATCCCTTTCAAACGATCTGACAGGAGGTTATCATATTCTATATTTAGCTTGACATATTTTATTTATTTTGCTGCTCTTTACATCTTTCTTCCAATGCCATCCAATTCGCTGTGCACTCGAGTGAAGCACACAAACTGCATTGACTTGAGAACGTATTCAGGTGTCTGTTAACATCAATTTCCTGACAAAATCAGGCTTCATCAGTAGCTCTAAATATCTACCTGTTGAACTGCTGCCAACACAGGGACTCTTCTAGGACAGATGAAGATAAATTACTTCCAGTAAACCGTTCTCAAATCATTCACTGATGCACGGAGACACAGGCTGACCCCACTGCACCTCGCTTCTTACCGATGTAAACGCACTGCTTACCAGAGAAGCTTTACTACATTTTTGTTTCTGCCGGATGACAGTGTCGTCATTGAAATTGCCACATTGGTTATTGGTCTGGACGGGCAAAATATATCAGATTCGTTGCAACTTCAGTCGTATATCTACATTTTGGTGTTTAAAGTTGAATGCCATGCAAACAGTTTAAAGAGACACTGTCATCTTGCCCATACAGGAAAAGTGTCAATGTCTCTAAAAAGCCCCCACCAACCTTCTTATAGTTGCCTTACCAACACTCCCTTGCAGCCCCATGCTTCTCTGTAACTCAGAAGACTACCTTCCCTTTTGGTTATTAAGAAGCATGCGACCTACTCCCCTGTGAAGTTGTATGGGCTAAACAGCCTAATGCTAGATCAGAGCACTGTCACATGACCAGGGGAGTGATGTCACTTTTCCCCCTGAGTTGCTGACAACCAATCTCAATGTTGACTGCAGAGGAGGAAGCAGCTGCGAGGAAGGGTAGGAAACATTAGTATGAGATGGTCAAGAGACACTGAACTTTTTTAATTAATACATAATTGCATTCATTGTGTTTTTTCAACATCTGCCTTGAATTCAGCTTTAATGGGTCAGTCCCCCTAAAAGTGGTATTTAAGGCTTGATTGGAGTCTGGTGATCTTTTAGCTACTTGTATCTTTTAGCAATGATGATTGCCCAACATAGTTTCGAGTTCTGTTTTCAAGCACCTTGAATTTGTATTGCTCCCTCCTGCTTGCTCCCAGATAATAAATGCAGCAGTCTCCAAAATGGCCACTGCGGTACTTCCGGTTATGTCTGATGTCACATCCTTCTGACGCATTTCATCATTCAATCGACTTCCTCATATTTTACTTCAGTTTTAAAGCATATCTAAATCCAAAAACAAATGATTGATATATTACAACTTGCTAATCCATAGTGGTGGCTGAATTTTTCAGGTTTATCTTCCTTTATTTTCACCGAATAATTTTGGCAATAACACATTTCCTGTCTTAGGTGATATACAGTGTTGCCATCCTAGGCTGTGGGAGGAGCAGTGTTGTCATCCTAGGCTGCTTTTTTGACTTGGAATTCAAACAACCCCCACCCCACTCCTTTCCTATCCTTATTGCCATTACACATCTTCACAAAAGATAGCTGAGAAAGCTGATATAATTGTTTCCAATTCAGTTCAGTCCACAGGAAGTTACAAGGATACTGGATTTTTTTATAGAATCAATGGAGATTTTGTATACTTGGCTAAAAAAAAATGCAGCCACCACATATACAGTATCTCACAGAAGTGAGTATACCCCTCACATTTTTGTAAATATTTTGTTATATCTTTTCATGTGACAACACTGAAGAAATGACACTTTGCTACAATGTAAAACGGCTGGCAACAAAGTGAGTACACCCCTAAGTGAAAATGTCTACATTGGGCCCAATTAGCCATTTTCCCTCCCTGGTGTCATGTGACTAGTTCGTGTTACAAGGTCTCAGGTGTGAATGGGGAGCAGGTGTGGTAAATTTGGTGTTATCACTCTCACTCTCTCATACTGGTCACTGGAAGTTCAACATGACACCTCATGGCAAAGAACTCTCTGAGGATCTGAAAAAAAGCATTGTTGCTCTACATGAAGGTGAAGCAGAGCATGACCCCCTCCCTTCAGAGACTGGGCCGCAGGGCAGTATTCCAACATAACGACCCCAAACGCACCTCCTAGATGACCACTTGCTAAAGAAGCTAAGGGTAAAGGTGATGGACTGGCCAAGCATGTCTCCAGATTTAAACCCTATTGAGCATCTGTGGGGCATCCTCAAATGGAAGGTGTCGCAAACGTGCGCATCAGAGATGGTTGCGGTTCAACCATTTTGGCTTCAACCTCCATCTTGGCGGAGGAATTAACCCTCCTGATATATGTTATTCCCTCATTCTCGTTCCCCCCCCTTCCTGAAAGGCACAGTGACAGATGTGTGTGTGTGTTAAAAGTGTCACAGGCCAGATCCCAGCAGGGAGCCACGTGGTGCCTAGCTGCGGGAGAACCTGCGTAGTTTCACACATCGTAAAACAGATAACGAGCCTTCCCAGAAGTTGAAAGAAATGCTGACCTGATGAACCTAGCACAACATAGGTGACAGAATTAGATGAACACTTCTCAAATCAATTTTTCCCCTATGTCTCATATCTTGGAATATGAGAGACCTACATAAAAACCGGACCCCTCGTCAGATGGCCAATGAGCAGATGAACAGTTCGATGGGTCACTTATTTATCTCGGACCATTAGGGGAGCCGGAACATAGAACTCGCGAACCGTGCCACATATAATTTCATAATTCATATCTAAATAATCCTCAGGCTTATCTGCATAATAAAATACCTGCGGGTAGACTGTCGCTTGTGTAGATGGAATGTTATAGAACAGAATATGAATTATGAAAGATGTTGGCCCCAGTTTAGGGTCCCGCCTGATGACCCCTCCCTGCACAAGGGATTGGTTTGTTACTTCAGAACCACCCCCTGCTGGGAAACTTTAAAACAGGCTGTCAAGCCTAAGGAAGATAGAATTGAAGACATCTCCCATTTTTCCATGGTAACAGCGGGAGATCAAAGCACCATTCTGCTCTAAAAAACTTGGATCTGCTTACATCAAAGGCTTACTGGCAAGTAACTTAACCCTTTCACTTCTCTCTGTTATCTCTTTTCTGGGCTATGCTGTTTCCTGTACATGTATGTATGTGTATATATATATATATATATATATATATATATATATATATCTTAGCTACATCTTCTCTGTAAATATTTTTATTGCACCTGTTTGCCCCTTTTAGTAATGAATCTCTCTTTCTGAAAGTGTTGCACTGTTTCTATAACTCTTAATTGCAATTTATGAATCCCTGCCTTTAACCTCCCTGGCGGTATTCCCGAGTGTAGCTCGGGGTAGAGTTTCAGTACCAAAAGAGGTAACCCCGAGCTACACTCGGGAATACCATGCAGCGTTGCACAGGGATTCCCTGCAGCGCTTACCTTGTCCTTCGTTCCCGCGATGCGTCCCCTGCAGCATCCCCGGCTATCTCCTCTGGCTGATGCCGGCATCCGGCTTCTGTGTTCTGGTCCCTGTGACGTCGGGACGTACGGGCACCGGAACCGGCGGCAAATTTGAAAATTTTAAAAAATGAATTTTTTTTTAAAACTATTATTACATAGTAAAACATTGCTGTTTCAAAGCATTTCACCTACATTTTGTCCATACTGCTTTGTCCTGTTCCCTGCCTGCATTTTGACTGTTCTTTCTGCCTGGAAACTTTGAAAAGTCCATGGCGTCCAAAAAGTGTCCCTTTAGGTCAAAAGCGGTTTTAGACCAGCTAGAGAACAGCGATAGTAAATCAGAACCACTTGCAGAATTGAGTGATAATGATTTGTGGGGAAATTCGTCATCAGACACTGAAAACGATTCTGCGACTTTGCTCAGCGATGTGCGAACTTGGCGCTCTATTTCAAATTTCAGTGTTTTTGGTTTGATTATATTATTGAATTAAATTTATTATTTTTATGTTATTATTTTTTATGATTATTTATTAAGTGTTTCATGTTTTATCCTACCTGGGATGTTTACTAGACTCTTGTTCGGACAGATTTCAGTGTTATTCCTAAATTACAGGCCTACAATAAAAAAAAACATATTTCCATGCAAAAAAATGGTACCGCTTTCAGCACCAAAAATCAAAAATAATCATACCGCTAGGGAGGTTAAAGAGACGCTACTGTTTGTCTCTCTGTATAACTGGTCTGTGTCAATGACTGGGTTATGCAGATGATTATTTCAATTATTATAGTGTTATAACTGATAATGCGAGTTTCCTCTTTCTCTGTACAAAAAGGAGGTGGTGGCAGTGTGGAGGGTTAGTTGCGTAATTAACCTGACCCAGTAACAATCAGGTCGCAGGTACATAGATTGTAGTCCATTAGCAGGAAAATCTTTGTGCAGGGTGCGGCTGGGCGTGGTATTGTTACACACATCACATCGCGGTTTGGATCGGCCAGTCCTTTGGTCACGAGTTTGGTGAGAAGGTCTGGGGTCTGACGCCGCGATCGGGACATACTGGACGTCGCGATGGTGAGATTGTCGCATGTTGGTGGCGGCGATCTTGCGATCTGTGACAGAAGTTGGAGGAGCGCAAGGTCTCTAACATCCACCAGCTCTGCGATGTCACCATGGAGGAGTGGAAGAGGACTCCAGTGGCAACCTGTGAAGCTCTGGTGAACTCCATGCCCAAGAGGGTTGAGGCAGTGCTGGAAAATAATGGTGGCCACACAAAATATTGACACTTTGGGTCCAGTTTGGACATTTTCACTTAGGGGTGTACTCACACTTTGTTGCCAGCGGTTTAGACATTAATGGCTGTGTGTTGAGTTATTTTGAGGGGACAGCAAATTTACACTGTTATACAAGCTGTACACTCACTACATTGTAGCAAAGTGTCATTTTTTTAGTGTTGTCACATGAAAAGATATAATAAAATATTTACAAAAATGTGAGATACTGTAAGTATTGGTAAGCTGCAATCTATTTTTGTTTTTGGGTTTAGATTTGCTTTAAAGTGGTTGTAAAGGCTCAAGATTTTTTACCTTCGTGCATTCTGTGCATGAAGGTAAACAATCTTCTGTGTGCAATAGCCCTCCAGCACCCCCCAATATTTACCTGAGCCCCATCACTATCCAGCGATGTGCACAAGAGCCTTGGCTCTATGGGGACTCTCCCTCCCGCCATTGGCTCCCACTGTTGTCAATCACAGCCAGGGAGACAACAAGGAGAGGGAGGGGGCAGGGCCGAGTCACAGCTCCATGTGTGAATTGACACGCAGAGCAGTGCCTCCGGAGTGAGTCTGCTTGGTTGCCCGCATAGCAAGATGTTTGCTCTGGAGGTACTTGGCAGGAGGGAGGGGCCAGGAGAGTCGGCAGGGGATTGGAGCTGTTTTGTGCAAAACCACTGTACAGAGCAGGTAAGTATAACATGTTTGTTATTTTAGTTTTTTTTTTTTTTTTTTGATGCCTTTAATACCACTTTAAAGCGGTAGTAAATTGCCACCAAAAAAAAAATTTGAGCCCCTGCAGGTTTAGGCCATAATGTACTAGTATGCACCATATACTAGCAATTATGACAGACTTACCTGGACATGGAGCCCTCCAGCACATCTCTGTCATGGCTCCTGTGCACTTCCATGTTCACCCGATCATTCTTCCAGGTTCGCAGACTCCAGGTGTATGAATCTCTGGGGCCGTGTTGCCGTCCCTGCTGTGTAACTATCTCCTAAGCAGTGCAAGTTCAGGAGATATTCGCTGTACATACTGGTAAGCCTTATTATAAGCTTACTTATAGGTACAAGTTAAAAAAGTGGACTTTACTTCAATTTTAAGCTGATTGGAAATTCCTATATCATCAAAATAATAACGTCGTTTGCACAATGCAGTGAGCTATTGTTTTTTGTAATTTTTTTTTTTATTAGCAATCCAAAATACAGTATACCTTCTTTTTAATTGAATAAGCCATATATGTGTAAACAGGTTTTGGTGCATAAATATAATAAAGGAAACTAGGGGTAAGTTTTAGAATTTGGCAAGTCCAGACAGCATGGTAGAAATGCAGATGTGAATTCACAATGTTATTTTTAATCCACTGCTGCCCTTTTCAGAGTAAACAGCCACTGTGTTTTTTACAGCCTCATAGAGACAGACCTAAATTCTGAGAGAAGGTGACAGAATGGTGTGTGCGTGTGTGCAAAGTGTGTATCAGACGGGGAACACACCCAAATACAAAACCACACAAACAATTGTGGGAGTCTGGCCCGTCTGCTCTGTGTGCTGAGATAGCGCACTTAATTTATTTACAGCTCTGTTTTTATACTACTGGATACAATGTAACAACTTTTTTTAGCTTCCTTTGTTCTTTCTTCAAAAATAGTAACATTTTATCACACTTTGAACATTGTCTGACTAGTAATTGTCTTTATTAAAAGACTCCGCTACGTTGGATCCAATGTCCACATAACAACCTTGTTTATGGTTTCAGAAACACTGCAATCATTTTTATGGTAGATGTTACTTTTTGGGGCCCATTCACACTTATTATAACATCATTTATATAGCGCTAGCAATTTTGTACATTCACATCAGTCTCCCAAGGAGCTTACAATCCAAGGTCCCTAATCACACATACACACTTTCTACAGCCAGTTTAGTTTAATAATCGTTTCATTGGGTATCTTTTAAATATTGTTTTTTATGTAAGGAGTAATAATTACAGTAAAGTGAAAAGAATAGTACTGGTGACCTTGCCAACTCAAGTAACCATTTTATAGAAGACGTTACAGAGCAAAATTTTTGCATAGAAAAGAAAAAAAAACTCAGGATGTATTCATGAGCATAGGAAGGAGTCTGTGAAAATATGCTAGGCATATGCTAATTGTGAACAGAACAAGCAAAAAGTTGTGTCAAACGCTAATCCAAACAGAAGAATCACGGTTATGAGGTTACCAATTGTATTCAAAATCATATAGAGTAGAGTTTCTGAACCCTCACTCTCTGGATTACAGTGCTCATAGATGGAATGAACAACAAAACCGACAAGTCCTAGGATACAAAGCCTTCAAATATAAGAGTATGAGCTAGGACAAGCATCTCCAATTTGTATTATAAGGTATAGGAAGAGGCAAGCTATGGTCTGATTTCTATGGCCAATTTGGACAGTAACCAATTAACCTTCCAGCAGGTCTTTGGAATGTCGGAGGAAACCCAAGCATTGGAGAACATGCAGACTCCATTCAGATAGTGTCATGACTGGGATTTGAACTGAGGACTCCAATACTGCCAGGCAGAAATGCTAACCACTAAGCCATAGTGCATTATTTATTTAATACAGATAGCACCGACTGTTTATTCAGCTTTTTACATATTGTATGTTCACTGCCCTCAAGGAGTTTACAATCTCAGGTCCCTGTCTCACATCCATAAATACAATCACACATGCTGTACAAGGACCAATTTGGAAAGGAGCCATTTAACCAGCATGTCTTTGGAGTGTGGGAGGAAACCAGAATACCCCGAGGAAACCCCCCACAGGCACGTGGAGAATATTTTAAAGCAGAAGGTGCCCTGGAATACGAATTGGGGACCCCAGTGTTGCAAGGCAGAAATAGCAAATGCACAGAAATGTAAAAAAAAAACTGCATGCCTTAATTTTATGAAATGAGGCTTTTTAGGAGTGGGCATTCTGAGATGTATATACCCACCATGGTTGTATTCTACCTGCAGTAAACCTTTCCATCTCAGCAGAAGGCAGTCCTCCACCTAGCAGCACTAGGTTTGTTGGTTCAAATCCCAACCATGGTACTACCTGCATGGAGTTTGCATGCTCCCCCTTAGCCTATGTGGGTTTCCTCTGAGTACTTTGATTTCCTCCCACACTCAAAAGACATGCTGGTAGGTTAATTGGCTCCTGTCTAAATTGGCCCTAATATGTGCATGTATGAATGTGAGTTAGGGACCTCAGATTGAAAGCTCCTTGAGGGCAGGGATGTGAATGTACAATATGTGTGTGTTTGTGTGTATGTATGTGTGTGTGTGTGTGTGTGTGTGTGTGTGTATATATATATATATATATATATATATATATATATATATATATATATATAAATATGTGTGCGTGTGTGTAAAGTGCTGTGTAAATTGATGGCGCTATATAAATACCTGTAATAAATAAAAGGATAAAAGGATTCTGCAGCGCAGGTCTGTCATCTGAGTTGCTGTGGATGACATCCCTGCATACAGACTTTTCAGAAACTTCTCCATGCTGAGGGTGATTTTCTTTATGCCACTTACCCATTAGGATGAACAGAAACATATGGGCATGTTTTATGCCTTAAAACATTTAAGACCGTATATAATAGAGAGACAAAAATGTATTTATTTTTTTCATTAGCAAGTTTATTGCTAGAAAAAAATGCATACACGCCACATTCAAATTCATGTCCTAGCACATATTAAAGTATATAAAAATGTGCATTTTCAGACGCACGCATGGATGGACCTATCTTTTGCATGTAATTTTTGTGGCATTGCAGTTTGCCCCTGATATACACTTATGTATATTTATATAACTAATTCATGAAATACAGGAGGATCTGGTCACATAAGTCACCCAAGTAAAACACCTTTTAAGCCAAAGTCCTCAGTTAAAGTTTAACTAAAGGCTGAACTGCAGACTCAAAATGTAATGAAAAATGAGGTGCTTTAACAGTGGGTGAGTTTACACAACATCTGTCAGCAGCTGCGCTCCACTTTTAAACTCAGGTGGCCAGGTCATTTTTGTAAATTTTCCATTGATCTTTTATTTTTCCCTTACAGCTTTCAGAGTTTGTAAAAGACCCTCCAAACAATATATTTTCTGAAACCAGATGACTAGTAGAATATAAAGAAGTTGCTACTGAATTAAAGAGACCCTGTAATATTTGCACAAACGTTTATCAAAGCAATATTTTCACTAAAAATACACTAAAATCTTTGTTAGCAGATACAAATACAGCAAATTTTACAAAATTCCTGCTAAATTCCTACTAAATATGAAAGAGTAACCTGTATTGAGTTAACAAACAGACATTTTGTAAATTTTAAATTGTGCCTTTTTGCAAAATGGTGAAAAATTAATGTACGCAAAAATGTAAGTTGTTGCTGAATTTTAATAGCCATCAATATTTGCGCAAATGTTTTAAAAAAAATATTTTCGTTAAACATACACTAAAATCATTATTAGCAGATACAAACACAGCAAATTGTACAAAATTCCTGCTAAATTCCTACTAAATATAAGTGTACCCTGTAATGAGTTAATAAATAACAAATATTTGTAAATTTTAAATTGCACATTTTTGCAAAATGGTGAAAATCAAACGTACTCAAAAATTAGTGTGAACCTAGCCTTAATATATTTTTTATTTTTGTAACAACTTTATTTTTATTACTGAATATTTTTTATAAATATTTTTAAAATTTTTTGGGAAGGGGGGAGGGCTTTGGGCTCTAATCTCTCTTTTTTGGGACAGAGAAAGGGACTGAAGACAGTCCCTTTCTCTGCAGCCTCAGCTGACACAAAGTAAATACAGCTTACTATGTGTCAGTGATTAATGAATACTGAGGCGATCTGTACTGTTCCCTGTCCGTATTCATTAAGGAAAGGACCAGCCTCCCCCCATCCTGACAGCTGTCAGCACTGCAGCCGGCGGGAGTGTGAGGAGGGAGAGCCTGCTAACAGTGCTGCATGGGGGGAAGTTCAGTGGTGCCACAGGGGATGGTAGCGTGGTACAGGAGGGTTGCAGGGGACGGGAGAGCCACAGCTGTGCTTACCCCGCTCTGCAGCT